GTCGTGGACATTTTTAACCTCTCTTTTAGAGCAAATGGTTTACTTCCTGGAAGTTCAGCACACAAAAGCATGTAAAGGTTCACTCATACGTGTCATATGTTATATGTCATAATGCTCTAAACTGGATGACATAAGCTACGAGATCTTCAGGCTTGGCTCTCTTTGGAGTCATCAGATATTCCTGCTGCAAGGTAGGTACTGTTACCCAGCAAGGCTTGTAGCATCTTCTTTTCCCTCCTGTGGATACTGCTGCGGCTCCCTTTGATATTGGTCTGCTGATACACATCAGCACCATAAGCTGTGCCTGTAGCATGGAGTCTCTCTGGGGAAGTTTAAATTGCCCCAAGAGTTATTCAAAAGGGATCTTTCAGACTATGACACCTTGAAAGCAATTCTATCCCCCCCCCCAACACACACACACCTTGCTGCAGGATGTTCGAAGCGAATCACACTTGTAAGCCTATTTCACTGGTGGTCAGTAGACCACTCAACTGCCACTCAAGCCTTTGCCTTTATGTGAACACATCCTCTTCCATCCAGGTAACACCATGCAGGCTCTGGAAGCCTCTATTCTTCGCCTGAGTGGGTCCTGAACTGCCATGCGGGATGTCAGTCACAGCTGGTGAGAACTTCTGGAGAGGCCCTAGAGCCCCACAGAGGGGAGGGAGACCCTTTTTACCAGGGCCCCTGCCAAAGTTCTAGACACATGAATGAAACTATTGTGGACTGTCCAGTATTGGTCATCATTTGACTACGGTCACATGTCACACCATAAACAAGAGCATAAGAAAAACTCTCCAGATAAATTCTTATCAGCTCGTGGAATAACAAGAAATGCTTATTAAAAAATAGCTATTGTCCTCGCCTGGGGGTCATTTCTGAAGATGCAAAATGATGAATAACAAGATTCTAACTATAGTGGCGTATCTGTCCATGCTCATCGGTTAACAATATCAATTTCCATCAGTCCCCCTTCCCTAACTCAGAATCACTCCTAGAGAACATGGCATTGCTAACTAAGCTTCACCTCCCTGAAGAAATTCTTTACATCAGAGTGGAGTTGGAGCCAAGGGCATAAGTGGACCAGAGGATCCTAATAGGAAATGATGTGTAAAAGAGTTAGAAATCCAAACTCATTACTGTGGCTGCCGATGCTGTACTGGCTTCTCCTGCTGGCCAACAGACGGCACGTGCTCTTCAAAGCTAACTCGCCAACAGAAGGTCAAAATGCCATGCCTCAGTTCAAGACTTACAAATTTGGGATCTTAAGTATGCTGTCATGTCTTAGAATGATAAGCTGGGCCAAGGAAGGAAAAGGCATTTTGCAAAGAACGTGCGCCTTTCCCATGTTTACGCTGCTTAAGATGAAGGTGCTAGTAAGTCATGGGCTGTGTTGCTTTAAAGGGAAGTTTTATAACTGAGATGAATCACGGCTGCAGAAGATCAAAGTTGGAAAACATCAATGATGCCATGGGGTACTTTTTAATCTTGTAATGAGTGATGATCATGTGCTCTTATGAAGTGTGTCCAAACTGCCAACGCCAGATGTGTATATTAAGAAAGGGAGTTGTTTGTGATGCATGCGACAGTCCTGGCTCAGCTGCCAGAGACAAAAAAAAAATCATGGAAGGATGAACCTTTCAGTGTTGACTGAGAAGCAAGTCATGGAAGATGTGTCTCAGAGTAGGACTGGGGCGTCACACAGCACACTGCCTGCCAGTTCTGCACAGGTCTTCCTAGGCAGCGTGATATAAATATCTGCTCAAAACGCAATTTATGACAAGGATTAGTGTCATTTACTATTGTGCAAAAATCAATAAAGCTTTATTCAGGGGAGAAAACAGCACAGTAGAGAGCAGATTACATAGCACCTGTTTCCTGGACACACACATCAAAGTCTGCACAGGTTCTGACAGTATAGCAATAGCTGACATTTAATGAGCACTTACTACATGACTGCTACCACCCTACCTAGTTTACATATCATGTATCACTTAGCATTCTTACAGAAACTGATAGGAAAGATAGTCTTTTCAATAGTCTTTAAGCAATGAGAAAAACACAGCAAAGAACAGTTAGGTATCTGTCTGTCTGCAGATACCTGAGGAGTGCAGGTTGGGATTTCAGACCAAGCAGTGTGACAGACCCAACCAGTGAACTGATAATGTGTCCTAATCCAGTCATCTGGGCCCCCGGAAACAATGGCTTCAGTACACACATAGGTCTTTAAGGGAAGGGCAAGGAATCCCACTGCTAAACAGCAACGATAGAGCCAAGTCCTCTACTCCCAATCAAGTAACAAACAGAAGTATGTAACGGTGATCACAGCTGCTTCAGGAATCACGATTGGTAGGAAGAATGGTTAAATCAATTGTATTAACTTTCTTTTTCTCGCTGTGGAGGGAAGCCTTTTACTAAAACCTCTCTCTGTTGAAGGTTGATCAAATAAGCCACTTGGAAATCTAGAGCATGGGTGGAAAAGTATAATTTGTGGGCCACATCTGGTCCACCCCTTGTTTTTATAAAGCTTATGGGTTTTAAAAGGATATCCTTATTATTATTTATGTGTATGTAGGTGTCTGCATGAGTTTATGTGTACCATGTGAATGCAAGGGCTTACAGAAACCAGAAGGGTTCAAGTCTTCTGAAACTATAGTTACAGGCAGTTGTGAGTCACCTAATATGAATGTTGAGAACCAGGGTTTTCTACAAGAGCAGTTAGCACTCTTAATTGATGAGCCATCTCTCTGGCCCTGTAAATAACGTTTTATTTAAATACAGCTGTGGCTAGTTGTTTGCGTATTGGCTTAGACTGCCTTTGCAGTAAAATGGCTAAGTTGAATCCTTGTGACACAGATGAATCCTTATGACAGATGACCAAGTGCAAGGTACAAGGATCGAACCCAGGAGTGTCCAAGCTGAAGTGTAACTAGTTACTGACACCAGATGCATTCCTACATCCAGGCAAGTAACCATACAGTGGCGGGAAAACATCATCACATTTTCAGATGGTTTATGTTTTATAAGAAACGCTAGCCAGTCATGGTGGTGCATGCCTTTAATCCCAGCACTTGGGAGACAGAGGCAGGTTGATCTCTGTGAATTCTAGGCCAACCTGGTCTACAAAGTGAGTCTGGACTGCTACACAGGGAAACCCTGTCTCATAGAACCTGGGGGGGGGGACACTACGGGCAGTCTTGAACTACTGGGTCTGTTTCTGCTTCCTGCCCTCCCTCAGCACACCCAAAGCACTTGTCTGTCTTCACAGGCCAGTAGATATATCAGCTAATTCATGCTGCTCCCTGCCCCAATCTCTTTGAAATGAGAAACTTGCATCCACGCTTTCCCAAAGCTGCAAGCCTGCTCACCCTTCACCATCTCTTTTAAATGGGGCTTCTCCTCTAACTGCCAACTGAGGAACACCCATCTCCACTATAAATACACACACACACACACACACACACACACACACACACACACACACACTCAGACACACACAGCAGCAGCAGCAGCTTCTCTGTGCTCTGGGATGAGCAGGAACCATGTTTCGAAGGCAAATATCAGTGGCGTTGAATAAATATTAAAAGGCTATTGTACCCGCCTTATGCACCAAGGAAAAGAAATTGCCTCTTCCGCAACTGGAGGGCTCGTCAGGGAAATGGCTAGACGACCGTCTTGCCTCAAAAGGAAAGCAACCCCATTTATGGCAATCCAGAAAAGACCAGCAAAGTCCTGGCCAGCCAAGGCATCTTTGCTCTGTTATCTTCACCTGTGCTGCATAACTTCTGACCCTTGAGACTTAAGATTTGGGGGCTCTCACGCATGCCACACATGAACCAAACCACTTAATAGGACATTCCCAAACTGAGCAGAGCCAGCACTGACCCAACAGTAGAAATATGGAAGAAGACGATACACATGAAAGGAGGGGAAAGCAAACCTGGAAGGCTGCTTTTGGGAGCAGGAAGCCTTTCTCAGCAGGACAGAAGGGACAAGAGCTACTGTATGAGCCCATTGCTAAAAGATCTGAAGTAGGACTAGGACGAGAGGCTTTGCCTCTCTAGCCCTCCTCTCTTACTCCAGGGAAAGGGAAGAGCCCATCCTCACTGAGTGGGGCATCATCTTAGAACTCCTGTCTGCTTCCCACCCCATCATAAGCCAGATATAACTTCCTACAAGCAATGCCTCGGACTCTGAAATACTCAGCCAGCAAAGGCAGAGCTGCCTATGATATTTATATCATATTATATGGCGCAGAACTCTTCACACTTCAACTTCAAATAAGCTTTACTCTGTAAATGTATCTTAATGCTGCTGACAAGCTTGCTCAAATCATGGTGGGTGGCAGGGGCATGGGGAAAGCCAGTGAGAACTGCCACAGATTCAGGAAAAGAATCAATATTGGCCCAGACAAAGTACACTTACTACCTTCAACTGGCTACCGAATAGGCAGACAAAGAAACCAACCTGAACTTAAACCTAGTTAGTCTCTTTGTTAAAAGGAACTATCTAGAACACTTACTAGAAAATGACCATACAACAGTGTTGTAACAATGAAGCAAGTTATCATTTGCAAATAAAGTCTTTGTAATTAAGCCTTGTGCTCTTTTTAAAGGGAACTGAGTGGGCGAGCTGAAACGCATTCTTGGGCCATGGGAAACACACACAAATGCTTTTTGACTACGTTTAAGATTTTTAAGTTTATAATTTGCTTCCTCAGCCTCATGGGTCCCTTCGGCCCTGCCCACCCGGAAGATGATGGATATGCAGAGTTTCTTAGGTAAAAGTAACCATGAAAAGCTATCCATTTGTTCCCCAAAGTTATGAAGCCTCCAGCAATTCTGTGAGAAAGGGTTCCCTGTAATTTTGTTTGCTACTAACTGTAAAGTTCTATTAACAGTTCTTCCCTAAAACATATACAGTGAAAGTGGTACTGAGTCCTTCAGAATAAATTCTTCACAAACTCCCTGAGCATTTTCAATAAAAAGGCAAGTACTTACTTCTTGGCTCCCGGGGACCGTCCACTGTCACTTTAATAGCTCTGTGATAAGTAGCCACTTGGGGAGGATTTGTGAAGACCGTAATGGTCAAGGTGAAACTCTTGCCTGCAGATGGAAGAAGGAAAAACTCAGTGACTATAAATGGGTGGATATCAATGACCCTACAATAATGTATGCAGATATCCAAATTTCACTGAAGCATCTCTGAGGGACTGGCCAATCAGGAATCCTTTCTCTGAGCCCGGAACCCACTTAGGAACACTCCTAAGCTTGTTCCTGACTAAGATCCCTGTCTTTCCTGAGGTTCTATGCAAGAAGCCTCCAACACCTCCCCCTATCCCCACCCCAATAATCTCCTGAGTAGTGAGAACAAAACCCCGGGGCCAGGCATCTCTGCTTTTCCACTTTCTCCAACATCAGGAACACAACCCTGAGTGAGGGCTGACAATTTCAGAAGTCTTTATTTAGGATCAGGTCATGGCCGCTTGAGAGAACAATAGTAAATTATTATTGGTGGTGTTATTTACATCACATGGCCTTAACATTGCATCTGCTTAAGTGAACAGCATTAAGATGAAAGAGGAAAGCTGTGTGCGAATCATTTCAACGGGAGCACATGTCTCCTGTCCCTGCTTTAATGCATCAGGGGACAGTTATCTCCTCCCCAGCTCACGCCTCCTCTAACATAGCTAAATCCTGAAGGAATGCCCTATAGTAACTTTTTTTTTTTTTTTTTTTGCTAAACAGCATGAAGCTTTACTTTTTGAAGAGATTTTTCTGCTATGATATAGTCCTTCTGATGCTTCACACTGATGCGCTAAAAGTGATGAATAGTGGTGTGGGGGCAGGGAAGAGTGTGGTAACAGATCTGAATGTCTGCTTTCTCCAGAAGATACTGGTCTCTGTTCTCCAGGCTCACTGACAGTTGTAATCAGTTAGATTTGCAATGGTTAGTCATGTCAGATAGTCAAAACTGCAAACTGTTACAACACAGGAAAAGGTGGGCGTGAAACAGTGACTCAATAAAACATGAGCAGGCCGCGCCGGAGTGGAGTGCTCGGCGGGCGTCTGCCCGGGAAGCAGATAAAGAGCTCCTTTTGTTTTGCTTTGTTTTTTTGGTCAGATCCCCCCCCCCCCTTCTACTGAAAGCTGGGAGTACTAAATCAAAACACAAATCTTAGACAATATGTAGCAATGTGAAGTTTAATGCAATCTTTTCATAGCTTAATATGGAACAGGTTATGCGCCCGGCTTAATAGAGAACAGGTCTTTGGCTGTCAAGTCTACTGAATGGCTTTTCTTTTCAAACCAGACCATGTAAGTTCCTAAAATCTGGTTAAGAAACACATCATTTGTTACTGTGTGTGGATAGTCTTATGACTCTTGACTGCTTTTCCATAGCTAAGGGGGTTAAGAAGGAAAGACAAGGCGGGAATGTGGGAAGGGATAGAATTAAGACATATTGATTAGAAACTCATGAAATTCCAGCCACATCAACCACATTATCTCATTTAACCATCCCCAGTTAGAGTCATCACCCCAACTCACAAATGATTCGGAATCCTTAGCCCAGAGAAGCTCAGTAATTTACCCAAGGTCATGCAATTAATAAACGAGGAAAATCAAGAATTACACTCAAACTTTTCTGACCTTAAAATAAATATTCTAGGGTACAGATGTAATTGGGAGATGGAGATAGGTAGCATGTATAAGGCCCTGGGTTCAATTCCCCCATACAGAGAAGAACGAAGAAAGGGAAAGAAGGGGGTAAATGAAGAGAGAGGGAGGTTGGGAGGGGAAGGGAGGGGAGGGAGGGGGAGAGATAAGTGGGAGGAAGGAAGAGGAAATAAAAGAGGTTTTTCCTATTTTATTTCAGAAGGTGAAAAAGAAATAGGTAACTTATTTCTAGGTGTGTCCCAATTAACTCCCTGTGCCCAGGAAATAATAAATATAAATGGAGTAACATAAGAGATGAAATTGTCTATTTTAAAGTATTACTGATATACCACATCATATTTACTACATATGAGATATTACGTGGAATTAAGTAATTTAATTCAGTACAGGACCAAGGTTTATTGTAAACATTAACATTGGTCAGAAGACTAAGACAGCCAGGAGTCTAAACTAGTCCCAGAAAACTCAAAGTCAACAGAAATGGAGATCAAAAAGTTGAGTAGGAGGCCCAGATTAAGAACTCAAAACAATGGCCGAGTCTCTGGATTCGAAGTTAATTTGCATTCAGACATTTTAAAACAGCAGTCAGGGTGACATCAGTGGTCCACAGACTCAGAATTCCATTTCTAATAGTGGCCATGGCTGAAAGACAGATTCCTTGATGCTAATATTAATACATCAAGAATGCCTGTGGTTTGCTTTTCCTTAGTGTCTCTACTTGACCTGCTAGTGAAAATGTTTGTGAACATATAATGACAGGTTTGGAGGGGGCTGTTTCTATTTTGAACCTTTACAGCCTGCTTGGAGAAAGAGTCATCTTTGCTCCTTTCAAAGTCAGAGAAACACACTTCATATAGGGAAAGGACCTGGTATGAAATCCACCCTTCAAGCCCCGAGCATCAAAACACCAAGAGCTCAGCCAGTCCTTCCCCTGTAAAAACTTCACTAGGACTGCAGAGTTGGCCCAGAGGTTAAGAGCACTTGTTGCTCTCGCAGAAGCCACATGGAGGCTCACCACTTCCTCAGGCACCAAGCATGCATGTGGTACACAGACATACATGCAGTCAAAGCACTCATACACACAAAATAAAGCTAATCTAAAAAAGTACTAGTGAAAAAATAAATAAATAAAATCTTAAAAAAGAAAAAGGCAAATCTCCTTTAAAAAGAGGTAGGGTTGCAGAAGTTGTCATCTTCCAGAGTTGACTCCCAAGTTTCCAACAGTGCTTTTATAATAAAAGCAAAAGCAGAAAATGCTCTTTTTGCTTCTGATTAGCCCCTGTTTGCAATGTGGAAGAAACTTCCAGAAACTCTGACCTGACTCACTAATTAGTTCATCTTGTAATAATGCATTTCCTGAGTCAAATGTTTATGTGGGCATTCGTGATTTCCTTAAGTTAAAACAAAAAGTTTTCCAAATTCCACTTTCCAAAGGAGATCAGTGGTGCATGGATCCAGACTACAACTTTTTACATAATTTTATGTGCATGGGTGTTTTGCCTGCAGGTATGTCTGTCCACCACGTGCATGCCTGATGTCATTGAAGGTTAAAATAGGGCATTGGATCCCCCCTGGATTCAATGTCTAGAACTAGAGTGACAGACAGTTGTGAATGGCATGTGGATACTAGGAATCAAACCCACACTGGTCCTCTTGAAGAGTAGCAAATGCTCTTAGCTCCAGGCCATCTCTCCAGGCTGCAGGATTACATTCTTAACAGTGGCCCCAAGAGCTGTGGTGGAAAGTTTCCAACTATAGGTAATCCACTAATATAAGACTAGCAATGCTACTTAAAACAAATCTTACTTGGGCTGGGAAGGTGGCTCAGTTTAAAAAAACAAAAAAAAAAAAAATCTTAATTCAGATTCTCAACATTCATGTAAAAAAAATAATAAATAAATAAAGACACGGCAATGTGTGCCTGTAACCCCAGCACTGAAGGACAAAGTTCACATAGGCACAGGTACCAAGCACACACATGTGCAAACATATTCATAACCCAACCCCCCACCCCCCCCACCCCACCCCCCGACACACAGAATCCAAATCCTACTGAGGCAAAGCTAGTCATATCATCCATAGTTTCATCTAGGAACTAGTTCTGTGACACTGCCCAAGGTCATATTATTTCTTAGACACATAAAGGACTGTCACTGAAAGACAATTCCAACTTGGCCTCAGAGGCTGCCAGGAAAAGCCAGACTGTAAAAAGGATTGTGTTCTACAACGACAAAACACCACGTTCTATGCACTGTAAATGCTTTAAAGGGCTTGTAAATTAAAAGCAGCATGCTTGATGTCAAAAGAGAGGAAGCACACCAAAGGAGGAGGATGAGGAAGAGGAGGAGGAGGAACGGTCAAAGCCAGGTTAAACACTTCAGTGTAAAATGTTAAGGAGAAAAAGGAACAGATAATTAAAACATAACTGCATGCAGGTTCCTCGGATGCTGAACTTTATCTCTGGGCATTTTTGAATGCTGAGTTCTGCAATGATCTAGGAAGCAAAAGCTAATGGAAACATGGATGCTTTGAAAATATAGGGCCTGATTTTCAACCTCAGAGAGTCTTTGTTTCCAAAAGTGAAAAGGTTAATATTTATGGAACTTGGCTTGTTTTGTTTTTGTTTTTTTAAACACTATCAACACCACCTTTTGTGAAGTTTCAAGAGAAAATCCATCACCACAGCAACAGAGATAAAGATGTGTGAGAATCTAAGAGGCTGGAGACAGTCTTGTAAAAAGCAGGTCAGGCTTGAGGGTTTCCTGCCACTGAAAACCTGACTCATTTTCATCCAGAGCCGTCTCTTACTGATGCACTCTGGCTTTTCTCTCTCTCCATTTTAGCTTAATCGTATTGCTTCCTCTCATTCAAAGTAACATAGCAATATAAAATCTATTATTAGTGATAAATCAATTTCTCTCTCTCCACCCACTCCCCCCCCAACCCCAAGTCTCGAAGACAAGTCTGGACCAATTTCTCCATCCTGCCTCTGGCAGCAGACTGGAGCACTTCAGATCCTCCACCACGTCCCAGCTGCTTCAAAGGAAAAATCCTACTTTCTTCAGTTAAGATCATAAGAAATATAGGGGGAGGGGGTCAGCTCTGTTTGGACATAATTACACTTCATCAAAAGAGGCTTCCTTCATCTTCCATGCGTGAAAAGTCTGCAAGCAGTTAAGTCTGTCTTTTTTTTTTTTTTTAATATAAAAATTGCTATTTGGGAAACCAGCCAAAACTCAGAAAGCCAATATAGTAAAACAGCACACACCCTTTGTTTCCTTTTGAAGTTTCTTAAACAAATATGTTGAGGGTTTACAAAGTACACTATCACTCACTCCACCTTAGTTTCTAGTCAAATTGATCAGGAAAAAAAAAAAGTGATTTAGCAATGTATATAATGCAAAAGTGCAATAAATGGAAGACAAGTTTGGATGTGTAAAATAAAATTAAGAGTAGCAGTCCATCCTTTAAATATTAAAATTCACTGCTCTGGCCAAAGTAACATAAGAAGAAAGATGCAATTTAGAGGATCCAGGAACATCATGTTTACAGTCAGAGTATACAGGTACTTTATTATGTTTACTTCTTGTTTTCGGGAGGAAAAGGGAGAAACTTAACTGTATTGTGACTCTGCAAAAGAAACTAAGAAACACATGAAGACACAAAGAAAGTAGATCAGCTGCTAAAGTGAAGCTGTGTCTTCTCGTCCTTCTAACGAAGGCGCACAGAGCCTGTTACAGACACAAACCCTTTAGTGTGGTCCTCTCAGAGGCTCTGCACCTCGTTTCCGTTCAAACCTTTCAGTGACAGCATCTCATTAGCATGCATTCTTTTTTCTTTTCTTTTCCTTTTTTTTTTTTTTTCTTTAAGTTAAAAAGTACAGCTTCTTGGCCCCATTCCTAGAAAGTAACTAAAACTACTCATCGGAAACAGTCTTGCTTAAATTTCCCTTATCAAGCTTTTACAATGGTAATAATTTGACATATGACCCCGAACTAGAGAGTAATTATTAGACATGGTTTAGAATGGGTGTTTCTCATTTCCGGACTCAAACCTGCTGCAGTGAATACACACACAAAGTTCATGGTCTCGCTTCATGTCGGTTCTAAAGTGCTCCTACTGTTTTTTCTCTTCTTAATGTGATACTTAAAATTGAAGTATTAAAGCCAATAAATTCAATGAACGTAATACTTCTGACAGGTGAATAACCAGTAGCAGTCTCTCTGGAGAATAAGTAAATAAAAAAACAAAATATTGATTTCCTCAGAGACTCCATCAAAAAGGAATTCCACTTCCAAACCAGCAATGGCATCCTTAAAAGGCTTACTTCCTGTTTTGTGACTCCTCCAATATCTTAATGTGGATTCAGATGGAGCCGCTGAGACCCTAATCAGTTATCTAGGTAATCTTATAATCATTTTAACATAATATTCAAACAAAAGGCCTTGAGCCAGGCTTGGTGGCCTTTAACCCAGCACTCTAGAAGATGAAGCAGGCAGATCTCTGTGAGTTTGAAGCCAGCCTGGTCTACATAGAAAGTTCCAGGCCTTTCAGGGTTACATAGTGAGACCATATAAAAAGAAATAAATAATCAAACAAACAAACAAAAAAAACCACCAAAAAGAGCCTAAACGATGATTTTAAAAGATTCTTCTTACAAGACTAATTGAAATCATTCAGAAGTGACATCGACAATGGAAGACAGTAGGCTAGCTGTCCCCATTTCAACTCAGAGTAAAGCTGGTACTGTAGGAAATGTTTCCAAAGCAATCACTTTCCTTTTCCCATTGACTTTCAGTCTACTCAAGTCATGTGACCCCTCACAATTCAGAACCTGATGCTCCAAACATTCTTTTCCCTACTGTACACACTAACACACCCCCATGAAATTAGGAGCAAGTTCTTCTGAAAACATGGTTTAACTCTTCAATATCATAAAACAAATGAAAAAGGCCTAAATACTCAGGAAAACACTCAAGGGCATCTGGATTTATTTAAACAACCCCTCTGTGGTTCTGTTTCAGTGAAAAGATGCTGAGTTGCATACAGACAAGTCCACACTGCAGCGGAGAGCCTAACTGCATCCCCAGTCCCTATTAAATACCAGAGACTTACCTCGTCCACTTCGGCCCACGAATCTCAGATCGTTGAACCTTGCTACTTGGTTTTTCATAACAGCAGAGGCATTCCGGAGCTCCGCTGAATAATTCTCGTCGTTCCCTGCCATGACAGTAACCACAGTCCCATCTGGCACCTCTCCGAGGGCTACCACCTACACAAAACAGGAAATCCAGAAGGAACGGTGGCACATCAGAAACCCTTAAGGACTGAGAACACGCGCTCACTCTAAAGGATGTCTTACCGGGACCCAGTGCTGTGGTCCCGTGATGGCTGACCAGAAGGGAAGCGTCTGTATTTGGGTTATGACACCACTTCAAACACACTGATGTTTCGGGGTCCACCCATTTTGAAGGCAAACTAAATTTTCCTTTATTTATTATGCAGTTCTTCACAAATATATGCACATTTTTATTAAATCCCCATGCTAGACTGTCTGCAGGAATTATACTTCAGAAAGAAAGCTGATGCCCCATCTGCAGATCGTACCATACAGATTAAGGTGTCAACTGTCTACAGCCCCCCCCCCCAGCCCTGAGGTGTGGTCCCAAGTCAGACATAAGCTAAAAACGGAAGAGTGGTTAGGGGTTCCAGAGATAGCTCAGTGGGTAAAGTGCTTGCTTTGGAAGCGTGAGGACTCTAGTTCAGATCCCATGCAGGAAGGCAACCTTTATATGCAATCACTGCTAGGAGGTAGAAAACAGGCCAACCAGCCATCTTGGCCTAATTTGCAAGCTCCAGGTTCCCTGAGAGGCCCTGTCCCAAAATCTGAGGTGCGGGGGAGAGATGGCTCTCTGATTAAACACTTTCTACCAACTTGAGTTCCGTTCCTGGGACCTGGAACATGATAAGCGAGAAGAAATGCGGACCTCCAAATGCTCATGCATGTCTGAGTGTGCATACAGACATACATAAATGCAACTTAAAACCGAGGTGGAGAGCGATTGAGGAAGACAATGCCAATGTCAACCTCTGGCCTCAATATGCAGTCTGACAGCACATGCACAAGTGTGAGTATGTGTGTACATAAGCAATCACAGAGTTCCCGATGGGCTCTCTGGAAAAGGACTTTTCAGGTGAAACTCAGAGTTCCCGCCTAAAACACTGGCTACAGAGCAGATGGATGACGGGTGTCTTACAATTACTCTCCCTACACAGGGCTAAATGGTCATCTTTTAACAACACTGGGAATACATGCTGCATGCCTTCTCTGCTGTGGGGCCCAGGGAAGATAGTCAAAGCTATCAGACCAATAAAATCTAGGTACAGAGTAAAGGCCTCACAAGGCAGAAAATGAGTAGCACAATCAAGGTATGTACCCTGGGCTGGGGAGATAGTTTGGTTGGGAAAGTGCTTGCCTTGCAAACACACACGTGGCCCAGAGTTTGATCACTAGAGGAAACATAAAAAGCCAGGTGTTATGGCATATGCTTTGTAATCCCAGCTCTGGGGAAGCAGAAAAAAGGAAAATTAGGGTAGGTCAGCCATCCCACCCCGAAACAACAAGTTCTAGAACCCACAGGGAAAGCCAAAAATAAAAAGCTCCAAAAAAAAAAAAGAAAAGAAAAGAAGAAGACACCTCGTGTTGAACTCTGACCTCCAAACGCACGCGCGCGCGCGCGCGCGCGCACACACACACATTATACCTGCACATAAGTAAGCACACACCCACACCCACAACCTCACTTTACTTCACCTGCCAGGTTGGAATGCCACATTTGCCCCCATGGTCTCCAACAGTTAATCTGAAGCTCATCAGTTCAGGCAAGGTACAGGATAACCTGGCTCTGAGGCATAGGAGGAGGTGTTTGAGGAGTATTTTGTTTTTAAAGGGAGCCAGAAAGATGGCTGAGCGGGTAAGAGGCCGGATAACACCCAGTCAGACTCACTTCATCCTAAGTCTGATGCGTACCTGGGGTTAGCACCAAACCTTGCTGAGGCAATGCTGGCCGTGGGGAACTTTCCCTGTCATAAAGCATTCTGTTCTCAGGCCACTACCAAGCCCCTGATCCTCCGTGGCAGCCCCTCCCTCTCCAGTAACTCCCAGGACCCCCTGCACAGCCCATTGCCCTTCCTTCTTCAAGGGTTGAGAAATCTGTGGGCGAGGGCTCCAGCACAATGGCCATTCTGACCATTTGTCTGTCGAGCAAACACCCCACTTTATCTTTTCCCATGCTCATTTGTCAAAAATTCCATACAACGAACAGATATCCCCAAGCATAGTGGGTTTGTATCCTCCTTCAAGTGTATTTCTTGACCGATGGCAAACAGGTAATATATTTTAGGACTGCATTTGTCCCCATCTGTGACCCCATTATAGCCTCTCTCCCAGCCAGGAAACCAGTCAAATAAAATAAAACCTTGTCAAGATTTTTGCCACTTTTATTTGACTCTTAGGCTGTTCCCTGGTTTCTTCAGCTTGGTACCTTGTTGAGTTCAAAACCAAAGAGTTTAAACTCATATTCCCAGAGTCCCACTGGGTCTAGTTACCTCATTTTTACATCATATAGATTGATGAGTAATACCTTTTGTTTTTTACTAAATTAGCCCAAAGTTTAAAGAATGGCCTTCATTTCATCTGGTTTGTTTAAATACCACATTCCCAAAACTCCTGGCATATTAGGAGGTGTTCGATGAGTATTTTTTTTTTAAATAGAAGCCAGAAAGATGGTTCAGTGGGTCGGGTGCTTTATGTGCAAGCATGGGGGGCTGAATTCAAATCCTTAGAGCCCAGGGTTGACGTGTGTAATACCAGCACCCTTACTGGGAGATGGGGTGAGCAGAAACGTATGAGTCATTTAACCTGGTACACAGCAGCAAACATCGAAGAAACTGACTCAAACAATACAGGAGACAAGAGCCACTGATGGCCACATGCATGCTGTGGCACTCCACAGTCTCACATCGGAATGTGTGTGTGTGTGTGTGTGTGTGTGTGTGTGTGTCACAAATAAATGAAGAGTTCCATAAAAAGCACTGTTCTCAGTGGCCAACAGCTTGTGGGTTACTAGCTAAAATGCTGAGAGAACCAGTTATAGGATGAGTCAGCATCCCTCAGCAGCAGCCTAGTGTCCGTGGTGCAGACCGGTATTGCCTGGAGTACACAGCCATTCTCTACTCGACAAGTCTGTGGGGTCAAAAGCAAATCCCTTGAGAACAAGACTTCCTCTCTGTCACTTTGGTCGAGCAACTTGGGTGGGGCCCGGGGAGTTACTAAAACAAGTGCTGTGCTCCAGAAGGTGAAGTGTTTCTCCGAAGCCAAAACTGCACATTTGAAAATATAGACATAATTGACTACCTCTACCAGTCTGCGTCTGAATATTAACACACTTTGTCTTAATTGTATCATAACACCTGCTGCCTGCCTGTCTATCCCAAAATAAATATTAATAAAGGTGAAAAAAAAGTTGTACTATTTTAGAAGAGACTACATGCACTAAAATGCAAGAGATGCCTCCCCCTCATCCACGTCCCTACTCTTCCTGCATACCTACTATGACCCTTGTACCAATCATTTCCTCTCTGAGGACCATGGTTTTCTAATGTAAATTGAAACTAATTTTTAATGCTGTGAAATGTAGAAGATGCCACATAAGCACCGAGTGTCACTATAGTGATCTTGTATTTGGTATGATAAGGAGAGTGACAGTTCCGTCTGCTACCTGCTAAACACAGGCTTTTAGTGGCAAATGTCCTTTAACTGAATAGGTGATAGTTCGCTTCATAGCCTCCAATGTGCTGCAGTTTTGTTGAAAGAGAAAGGATGGCCCTTGCTGGTTTCACTCCAACCATGCAGTGTTTCAGAAAAAAAAAATAATAATAGTAACGATAAAGAAATATCCTTAATTTAAAGGTTTTCCGGAGCTTGGAACATTATTATTTTACCACACATTTTTTAACATAATGTACTTCCTTTAAGTTAGAAGAGAATGAAAATTGATTCAATAATGGAAAGTTTAAGAGAAAAGATTCCTAGGGGTGAAATATAGAAGTCCACGTTACTAATAATAATGCTTGTATTAAATATGGGTATGCTCTACATATCACACTTAACAAAACATGGATATTCACAAGCTGTGTGTACCTTCTATGAGGCTTAGAAGTGGGCCTGCAGAACATGCCAGCACAGTGACAATCTTTCTGTTGGCTAAACTCTAGTCCCATGGTTAAAATATATTTTGTTTTCTGCTATTCCTTCTACCAGACCAGACTGACCAATGTTTGTTCTGAGGTGGGGGCACCACATGTCTTGGGAGGGGAAGTACTGTGCTTAACATTATATCATTCAGAAGTGTAATTACATGTTGGAGACTTTTTAAAGTAGATGTATGAAACTTAGAAGTTTCCTTCGAATTTTCTCAGCCATGTTTATCTAAAAGAAAACCAAAGAATGAAGCAACTTTTACACGTTTCATCTGTACCAAACTCAGGCCATGAAAAAAAAAAATTTTAAGGGGTAAAAAGAACAATTTGAAACACACACTCTCTCTCTCTCTAACTGGTTAGGCAGAGGCATGAACTGAGTATTTTTCCTGCGCTACCCAACACAAAGTACTGTTCTGCACAGAACAAATCGTGATGAAATCATAATTACATTTCTAGGTGTTCTTAAAATATAACAATTAAAGTCAAGAAAGGCGTGAGAAAGAGAGGGGTCACTTTCTGCTCTGGCATTCCAGAATTGAGAAAGAATCTCCTATGTTTAGCACACCCTACTGTAACCAGCATTTAAACCACTCAATACGCAGCTGGCACAAAATGAAGTTGAAGAGTATTTCACTCTAGTGATGTCGAAATTTTTCTGAGACCCATTCTGACTAAATCCGTGCCTCATGCTGAAGGAGGAGTGATAGCAAACTTAACGTAGACCCCTCCGTCCTGTGGTCTCACCATACTGGGAGTTTAAAAATGCCCATGACATTTCCATGGACAGCAGTTCAGTCTAAGCTAATCAATTATCCTGACAGGTTAACATTATTTTGGCATATTACACATGTAGTAAAATGAAATATTATTATTGCTGAGATAAAATCTGATCATATCTTTCTTTGTAATGAAGAGAGGGGCAGCTCAATAATTGTGACAAATGGGAACAAAAGAAAACTGTATCTTTTTAAAAGTAAACTATAGAAACATTTCAATATATACTACAGTGTGGCTTTAGAACTTAATCCATGAAGGCATCCTCAATTCATAAAAAGTTGAATTCTAAAAAAAAATAAATACAATATATCATCTCAAAAATTTAAATATATGTCCAACAAAAAAAATGGTGATTTTTTTTTTTCAGTTTAAGCTGACTCCATATGCCATGAGTCATAATAGCTTATATCATCTAACAGTGAATATTCTGGAACTCTGAAAATAATAAACAATGATCCCAAAGGCCAAAGGAGAAAATACAAAATAAAAGGGTAGGTACCATACCCTTCCTCAAATATAAGTTTCCAAAGTTTAAAAAGTATGTACACTGTATATAAAATTTATTCTAACATATATATGTCAATTCCACAATATTTACCTTTAAATATTTTTTTACAAAAAAATGTGTCCTGCCTTCATACACCTGATGTACTATGATTGACAGTTTGGATTAGGCTTAATAAGGATTTGACAAACTCAATGATATCTTCCCTTATTAAGCTACAGTTAAGATACGAACAAAATCTAATGATTAAACACTTAAGACAGATATAACTCGCTAACACCAAGTATGTACAAGTTGCAAACTTGCTTTTAAAGAAAAATGGCCAATGATGTCAACAAATCAGTCTCAAATAGAAATTGCACCATCATTTGGAAACTCTTTCCATCAACACTGAAAGATGTTATTAAAAATAGAACATTAACTAAATATGCTTTCTTCTATAACGTTACTAGAAAAAAAGTGATGTTCTCTAACTTAAAACAGTGATATGGGCCTATACTGCTTCGAGTTTTAAGATATACATCTGGATGTCAACATAGTGTTTCAGCTTGAAGCTATTTAAGGCAACTTAGTTACGAACAGCAGGCTTCACATTGGAGATGCTGACAGGCCCTTAATTCAAAGGGTGCTACTGGATGCAAGGTTGACACGTTCTAGCCACTCTGTCTACCAGACAAACCATCAGCTACTGAGCTGAATTTGCAAATTACTTCGTCCTGTCACTAAAATCATCTGTGACAGAAAGGGCCTAGCATCCTCGAATAGGAGGCCTAAACTATTTTAGGGTTTTAGTGAGATACACCTGAAAGAAATGTTAAAAATATTTATTTCCATTTCCTTGACACCTGGAAGGAATGGCTATTTCAAAACTACGGAACTTTGGTAAAAGTACAATGATGGCAATTAACTTTGCATGAACACCACTAGCTGTTTTGTTTTTGTTTTGTTTTGTTTTTACATGTTGACTATGAATCAAATAAGGACTTTTTTTTAAATCCCCAAATTTTATTACATGAACAATGCCAAAAGATTCTGTACGTTTTAATATAATCCATTATCAACATCACATTGAAGCACTATTTAAGTTATCAGAGAGCAAAACAGTCTACTGAATTCATTTCTACTTTGTGTCACAAACCTAAAGTATAGGCTCAATAAATATTCTATTAGTTGGAACACTAGATTTCTCAACAATTGTGTCCTCTCGGTCAGAAGCTGGGGGTGGGGGAGTGTTTTAAAGGCATTTACCTCTCTGACTTTTACTAATACTATAATTCATTTTGTACATAGCTCTAGATATGATAGCCAAATTGCTGTCACCACTTTTGAGACAGGGACTTCTTCATATTATTTCTTCACTGCAGATGTATTTCATTATGTTGGGAGAGTTTAAGAAGTCTGTTGTGCTATTACATTTATTTCCAATGCAAGTTATTTTTTTAGTGGCTGTTATTATACCATTGAAATGAAAATCACAAAAGTCACTGTCAAAATTTGAACCTCCAAATATACACATTTTTTTTAAGCAGAGAGACAAAATTGTTAGGAGTAAGCCTCAACTCTCACCCGCATTTTGAATGTGGGAAGAACACTGAAAGTCAAGCCCTATATTAATTCAATTTATCACAAATTTAAATATTACAATATGCCCTATGTAATCAATGGTCTGTTTACCAGTTAAAATAAGAAAAATGCACTCTAATTAGAATGCTTAGCAACAAAGAAATTCATTTCCAAAGAGTTTTAGAAACTAGTTAGAAAATCCAGGTCCAAAATCCAACACAAGTTCAAATTGGATTGCATTCCGTCTCCATACCCCAATCCTTTCTCTGCAGAATATTTGTGCTAAAAATCAATTCAAATTTTAAAATAAACAGTTCAAGATAGTGAAACCCTAACCACATTCACACCAGACAGAGAATTAATAAAGTTAAATCTTCACACTTTAATGCATGGCCTTGCATAGACAAAATAGCTACTGATTTGTAATTTTCCCTGTTTTCTTTTAGGTTTGGAAAAAAGATTTTTGGGTTTTTTGTTTGTGTGTTTGTTTGTTGTTCTTAAAAATAATGTCTACCTCAGAGACAGCTTAGAAAAATTTGACTGATAAACACTGCAAAAGAGGTATCTCATATGGAAATATCATTTTCTACAATTTCACCTATATCTGACCTCTTCACATTACAAAGAAAACACTAATCTACAAAATGGATGCTCTCAAAAAGGAGAAATGTGACGTGTGTGTGTGTGTGTGTGTGTGTGTGTGTGTGTGTGTGTAAGGAGCTCTACTTGATCCAACTACAAAATGAAACTTTAAATAGAATGCACCACACACCTCTTCAATAAGAACCCATTCAGATTCCTGTTCAGAGAGAAGACCTAAAGAGATAACTGCTCCGATTGACCTGGGCTCCTTCTGCCACCCCACCCACACATGGAATCTGAATTGGTGCGTGGGGTACCGGTGATCAACAACTGGGAAATGCAAGGGGCCTGGGGGAGTTTGGCACCAGAGTTTTAGATGAAGGAACTGGCACAATTCCCCCCTTACCTCTCCCTCCACCTTTCTTTCTTTCAAATTCATACTTAACCTGCTCTCCAGGGATGGTAGGTCCCAGGCCCACCCACTAGAGCTGGAGGTGCCTTTGGACTCATCTACCTGGCTGGTTCACCCCCTCCATCCCTAGCTTCTAGACCAGCCAGAATGGACAGCCATCAATCCAGCACCGTTGGCGTGGGGGTGCTCCACGCAAACGCCACCCTCCCGGATAGCTCCAGGAGCCCCAGACTACACCACGAAGGCTGGGTACCCAAACACCTTCAACCTGCTGGCGGCTGCCCATGACTCCCACAGCTACCAGTATTGGCAAGCTAACGGACTCAGGCGGAGAAGGCCACAGGGGCGCACCTTGACGCCCAGGCCGCCGGCTGGAGACACCCACAGCCCTTTCCTAGCAGACGGGACTTCTGGAGGGTTCATCTCTTTCAAGGCAATAAAGCAAATTTACGAATTTTCACCTCCGTTTTCATTCTGACCAGCCAGCGTTGCTCCACTAGTTTTCCTCTTCCTCCCAGGCGGAGCGAGGCGGGAGAAGGTAGCCTAAGCCCTGATCCCCTTCCCAGACGCTCAGTCCTGCTCTAGGCGATCTAGCGCCCTGGACCCCGCGGCTGCCGGGCCTCGATAAAAGCAGGGACCCTGGCGACCCGGCATTCCTCCGAGTAACGGGACCCAAAACCGCCAAGGAAGGCTCCAATGTCCCTGTCCGTCCTGGTTGCCCCACGTCCCTAAGTTTGCTGAGCAACCTCAACTCTCTTGCCGAGGTTGGCACCTCATCCCGCCCCAGGCGCAAGCATCCTTCGGCGCCGGCACCCCGCGGCCACCCAGCCGAAGCCCGGGAGCTGTGGGGACTGCCAAGTGACACCCAATCCGGGAAGGGGGACGCCTAGCCTGGACTAGCGGCCTGCCTCTGTAGGGGAGGCGGGAAGGAGAGTGTGGAATCCTGGAGAGAAGGCCGGGACTCCGAGGAGGAGTACGGGGACCCGCGCCACGGGGAAGGGGGCGGGGTGGAGCTAGCGTCTGGAGGCTCCCAGTGGGCACCTTGGGGCGTCTGGGGCCAAGGGGAATAGGCAGCAGGGGAATAGGCAAGAACCGTGGCTGGGAGACACGAGGGATGAGCAAGCAAGGGAACCTCGGCTGGGATGGGAGTGGTGGTGGGCACAGGTGAGAAGGGGATCTGCCCGCGGTGACCGCGGCGGGGTGTGGAGACCATGGGCCCCTAGGTCCTCAGCCTGGGCCACCACGACTGGAGTCTTGCAGGACACCCGTGGGTACCGAGACCACTGCAGGCAGGTCCCACGGAGCCCGGCCGGGGGCTAGGGGTGGCCAGTCTCTTACCTTGAAGGCCACAGGGAGGGTCTTGTTGCAACGCCAATGCGACGGCAGCACGGAGCACAGGAAGTTGGGGCTGTCGGTGCGGACCAGTTCGGCCGGGTGGTCGGCGATGATCTCCACCATGGTGCGGTTGTCGTGCGGCGGCCTCAACCGGGGCACTGCCGCCGCCGCCGCTGCCGCCGCCGCCGCTGCCGCCGCCGCCGCCTCCTGCTGCTGCTGCTGCTGCTGTTGCTGCTGCTGCTGCTGCTGTTGCTGCTGCGCAGCCACCACCGGGCTCACGTCGCTCATCTTGCCGGGCTGCAGGCTGCTGGAGGGGGGGCTGAAGCGCCGGCTGGTGCTCGGATCTACGGGAATACGCATCACAACAGCCACAAGTTAGCGAAGTGGCCGGGGGAGGGGGAGGAGGGTGGAAATGGGGGGCGAGGAGGAGGAAATTGAGGGGGTGGAGGCGAGACGGGGGGGAAAGAGGATGGAGGTGACGGGACTGAGGAGGTGAGAAATCAAGTCCGAGGAAGCCGACTGCCGGGCGGAGTCTGAATGGGGGCCGGCGGCCGGCGACTAGGCACAGTCGGGTTGGCGGGTGGGGACACCCGGAGGCACAGATCTCCGCCCGGAGGTTTGGGAGCCCCGGCGGTGGCAGCTGCGAGAGGGGAGCGGGGGCGTGTTTGGCCCAGCCGAGGCAAGGGACTTGAAGTTAGCAGCTTGCAGTGGGGAGGGGGGGTGGCTTGGGGCACTGCGTTCTGGGTGCACTGGCGCCCCCCTCCCTGTTCCAGTTCGGTAGTGGAGCCTGGCAGGTTCAGCAATTCATCTCGGAGGTCCTTGTAGTCCCTCGCTGGCCGCCACGGCCAAGCCGAGCACTGCTCCCAGCTTCTGGCGCCGCCGACGTCCGCCTGCGCCTCCTCCTCCTCCCTGGCCGCTGCGCGCTCCCCCCACGCCGGCTGCGCGCTCCGAGTTCTCCCGCCGCCGCTCCTTCCTCTCCCGGCTTCTCCCGGCGCCCTCTCCCTCGCCGCCTCCACGCAGCCACGTCCCTCCTGCTCTTTGCAAAGTGCTCCTGGCCCCCTCGCGCTTCAAGGTGCCGGGAGGTAAGTGGGGGGGGGGGCAGCGGATCTCGGGGCGACAGATCTGGAGCCTGTGGATTGCAGCCGCTGCCGCCGCCCGCCGGCCGCGAGAAGCGCCCGCACGCTGCGCTCGGCTGCTGAAGCTGGAGGGAGGCGGTCCCTGCCTAGGGCATCGGTGCCTGTTCCTTCGGCTTCCCCCGCACCCCCAGGACCAGGAACCCCTTCTTGATCTGACCACGCTGAAATTGAGAAGCCGAAGAGCCTCGGGCTGCTCCTGCTGTCGTTATTTTTCGTTGTAACTTCAAAAGAGGAGGAAAGAAAATTCTCAAGTCCCTCCTTGACGTCTGGACACTCTTCGCCCTCCCCCACCACCACACCCCACTCTACCTCGGCTGGGGGAGGGCAGGGTTTTACAGGATTCGGGGTTGTCCCCCCCCCCCGAATGACACCAAAGAAATGGGTGACAAAGGGGCTTGTCAAAATAGTTCTAGAAACTCAAGCGGATGCCTGGACACTTTTTTCTTATATATTCATTCTTGTCATTGCTGGAGAATAAAGTTGAATTGCTTTTTTTTTTTTTTCTTTTCTTCTTAAGAACTGGGGAAAATGACAGCTTGGTAACTAAAATAAGTTGTAAGTTGCAAAAACGCTTACTGAAAGGGGCAAAAATAAGTAAATAAACAGCGGTTATCCGTGAATTTTCAACCTTTTATTAAGCCTAGTCTTCAGCTAGACTAAGTCTAGTGTCTTGACATTCTTACCACCACCACCATCCCCCCCGTGGGGTTAAAAATAAAAATAAAAATGCTTCAGTGATTATTTATTTATGTATTTGTTTCCTGGCATGGTTTTTTAAGGCGATTTTGGAATCCCCAAAAGGTTGTGGTCGAGAGATGAAGGAGTGCGGGGGGGGGGGGGAGCAGCAGTTTTTACCTAAAATGTGGTTTTTGGAGGCTGGGATTTCTAATGATTAGGTTTTTGTGGTTTCTATAGACACGACTCAGGCTAAGGCGATCATTAGCTGATGGGAGACAGAAGCACGTGGGTGTCTCCGACCAGCCTCAATTTCTGAGCCTTCAAAAACAAATCAAACAATGTGCGGTGCCCACAGAAGCCGGGAAATCCGCTGGAGGCTGCCACACTCCCAGAACTGGGCGCAGCAACATCTGGCCGGGCCATTTCACTTCTTGCGTGATGTTCTGTTATATGTCTTATTTAACCGATTATTTTCAAACTTCCAAATAGCATCATTTACCAAAGTCCCGATGATTCTTAACAAGGTAGCTGACATGGTGGGGACTTCGTGCAATCAATTAAATTTAAAAAAAAAAAAATTGCAGTCCTCCCTTGAAGGACTGAGGTAGAGGAATAGCTGGGTATCCATCCTACCTCCCGTCTCCTGTCTTGGTTAAAGCTTGTCGCATAATCATTAATTGGAGCTTTCATTGCTGGGTGCAAATGCCTCCCAAGTTCTGCAAGAGACCTGCCACGACTTCCTACTGGTTTTTAAAGTGTAGCTGCCACTCCTTGGCCCCCGCGTGCCCACGAGGCCAGGGGAAAAATACCGTGGGTGCAAAAGTGGTTGTTTGCCCCTGTGCAGGCAAGACTCAAGAATCTGGCCAGCACAAGACAAGCACAGATCTCTGTGCTCAGGTGACTTAGAGACCTGCATTCCCTTGGCTAAGAGGTGTGCTGGGGTCTGAGAGTGACTGTGCCCTTTCGCAGGCTTAGGGGGGGAACTGGGGGACACTATCATGCCCTCCCTCTTTGTGTCATTATTTCCACCTCCCCTTTCTGCTCGCTCCACTTACAACCATTCCTGCCTTGTCGGTCTTTCCTAGTCTTTCCAGAGTCTTTTCCCCATTCTCCCCGCAGACTTGAGCCACCTCCCCAAGTCTCTCGGTCTCCCTCTTCTACCACCGCCTGCTTCTCCTCCATGCCACAGAAAAGCAATTCTGCGCCACCAACTCTAACACCTACTCCCCACCTTACTGCTCTCAGCTGGTGGCCTCCGTGTCCCTAGCGCTCCTGCAGGACCACTGAAGCCACTTATCCCAAGGCATTATAGGCGCCCGCGGGTTGCTGAGCTGCCTCCTAAGGGTTCTACTTTTAGTAATGTTTTTGATCACAGGGGAGAGCTCTAACCCTGAATACAGCTGCAGGCCTGTGCCCGCTAGTCTCCGCATCCATAAATACCAGACCAGTTAAGGAAGCCAGGCTCCCTTCCCCAGCTGAGAGACTGCACCCACCACCCACCTTCCTTACACACTCACTTGTCGTCTCACACACTGACATCATGAGACAATTACATGCCTGCCCTTCCTGCCTTTATTGGTACAGTTTTCTTTGGGGACACGTCTGATGGAGAGAGCCTGTGTTCCTTGCTCCTCTTTTGAAGTGTCTGGGGACTACAGAAGAGAGGAGGCCTCACAGGAAGCAGATTGATTCTGAAGTTACAGATAGAAAGTCATTGGGAGATATTACCTCCTCTTCCCAGGAAACCCATCGATCAGGCAACTTCCAGAAACTGACAGACACTGAGAAACAGTGCATATTTCAAATAGGGGTTCTCAGAGGGGGGCTTTTCAACAAGAAATTCTAGGGTCCTTTTGAATCTAAGAAATCCTCCTATTTGGGGGACTTGTTTGTATCCACCATTAGCTGTTTAGTTACCACCACAGTTTAAAGGGAAAAAAAAAAACTTGATGGATAATGAGGCAAGCAGGCCTCAATGGTTGGGGATTTTAAGGACAATTTAATCAATAGTGAGATTATTTGTTTGAATTAATTGTATCCGGTAATTCAGCTTCATAGCTTTCCTGGGTATCCTCTCGCCATTAAGCATTCCAGTAGAACTAATGTAAGCAGCTCTTGGAAGTCCCCAGTCTTGGATCCCTTAAAATATCCTACAGTTATTTATAATGTGGAAATGAAATTTTCCACTGAGTGCCCTAACAACAGCTCAGGTATCTGGCACTGCGGACTTCAGTCCCCTTTCAAAACACAGGCTCACACTCTCAGCTGGAACTGATGGAGCCTGGAACTGGCCAGGTCTTGGCTGGGAGCACTAAACTTCAAGTAGGACACGGTTCCAAGGCCCCTTCACCCAGACTCCCCGACTAGGAAGCACACAGGGTGAGCCTTCTGCTTTTGTGTCTTTGCTGCTGTGCAATGCTTGATCTTACCCCTAGGCTTAGTGTTTTCTTCTACAGGAAAATTCCAAACAAGGGCTGAGGACACTGCTCATGCTGTAAAGTGCTTACAGCAGGGGCATGAGTTCCTGAACCCCACACCTAGCCAGGCTCCCAAAGAAGCAAAGTCAGATGGTTTGTTTGAAATCTGGTGCTAGGTAGGTCAGACCATCTAATCAATCCCTGGGACTTGCTGCCTAGACAGCCTAGCCTACTCAAGAGGCTCCAGCTCAGTGAGAGAGCCTGTACATACATACATCCTACACACACACACACACACACACACACACACTTACTTCTAAGCAGATCATCCACTGGATTCTTCTACAGAAATATTTTTTTCAGTTGTATGTACGGTGCTAAAATAAAATACATTTTCCCCCCTGAAGTTTTAACTATTCTGAAAGATACAAGCACAGCCCTCCCCTGCTGCCGTGTCCTTTAATGGTAAATGCAACTGTCACGTGACCACACCTGGCAATTCTAACTTTCCAAAGAAAGTGTAATGTTAAAACAGTCTTCTTTCTGCTTTGCTTTTTTTTTTTTTTTTTTTTTTTTTTTTTGAGGGGAGGTGGCAGGGAGAACTGAACACCCAAACCACAAACAGAATTCAGTCTTCATCCTAATCCCATCTACATTATTTTGTATTTTGTATACTTTTTTTTTTCCACGATGAAAAGTGGAGAAAGTTCCTGTAAAAAGTTAAAATACTTTTCAATGAACCAACTAATAAAAGTAGGATATCCATTGGAAAGTTATGAGCATCCAAGGCTCTCTGAAGGTGTGTGTGTGTGCATGTGTGCGTGCGTGCATGCGTGTGTGTGTGTGGGGGGGGTTATAAACAGAAAGCTCTATGGAGACTTTGGGGTTTGACTGTATGAGATTAGTCTGGAGAACCAATACTATCACCAAACCGAGCAGTTATCATGGCGGAGTCTGGCCATGGGCTAAATCTGGCCTGATGACTCTTTTGATACTGGCTTATAGGTTGTGGTATCCATGTGAATGCATGTGCATGTTTGCACGTTCATGGACACACTGTGGGGGTATATGTGAATGGCCTTGCAAATAGAGGCTTTAGGTTGATACTGGGGT